GGGCTTCCTGCTCAGCAGGGAGTCTGCTTCTCCCTCTGACCCTCTTCCCTCTCGTGCTTTCTATCTCTCATTCTCTCTCTCAAATAAATGAATACAATCTTTAAAAAAAAAAAATACACAAGTTGGGGGCACCTGGCTGGCTCATTCAGTGGAGCATGTGACTCTTGACTTTGGGGTTGTGAGTTCAAGCCCCACATTAGGTGTAGAGATTACTTAAAAAATAAAATCTTTAAAATATATATATACAGGGGGTCAGTTGGTTAAGCATCTGCCTTCAGCTCAGGTCATGATCCCAGGGTCCTGGGATCAAACCCCATGTTGGGCTACTTGCTCAGTGGACAGTCTGCTTCTCCCTCTCCCTCTGCCCCTGCTCCTGCTCTCTCTGGCTCACTCTCTCTCAAATAAATAAATAAAATCTTACCAAAAAAATACATATGTGTGTGTGTGTATCTCTCTATATATAGTCTTTGTCTCTCGTTCCTGGCACAGAGCTCCTAAAACCCTTGGAATTTCCTGAATGCTAAGAGTGTCTATCATTACCATATGGGGCCTCTTCAGAGCATACCTGAGTTTATGCTAATGAGGTGACTCTGGGTGGGCCCTTACATAGCTTCAAGATGGGGGCTGGTTGCCAGAAGAACCAACCATGTGATTAGACAATTGGAACTTCAGTCCTACCTCCTCCACCTCCAACAGGGAGAGAGGAGCTGGAGGTTGCATTAATCATAACACCAGTGACTTAATCAGTCATGCCTACACAATAAAATCTTGATAAAAACTCTTGAACAAAGTTCAGGGAGCTTCCAGGTTGGTTAACACATCGATATGCTACAAGGGTAGCATGCCTAGGTAGGACATGGAAGCTCCAGGTCTTCTGCCCCACCTCACCCTTGTGCATCTCTTCTATTTGGCTGTTCCTGAGTTGGGTCCTTTATAATACAACTGCAATATTAAGTATAGCATTTTCCTGATTCTGTGAGCTGCTCTAGTGAATTATCAAATCTGAGGGAAGGGTTGTAGGAACCCCTGAATTTGTGCTCAGCAAGGCAGAATTGTGGCAACCTTGGGGTTCTGGGATCCCCAGATCTTGTGGCTGGGATCTGAAGTGGGGGCTGAATGGGACTGAGCCTTCAACTTATGGGGTCTGGGCTAACTCTGGGTACTTAAAATCAGAACTGAATCAACTTGTATGACATCCAGTTGATGTTGGAAAATTATTAGTGTTGGAAAATGACACAATTACATTGATTTTTGGATGTTAAACTAATCTTGCATTCCTGAGATAAATCCCACTGGGTCATGGTATATAATCTTTCTTATATGTTTGTTTTATCTGGATTCAGTTTGTTAATATGTTGGCCTCTATGTTCATGAGGAATATTTGACTGTAGTTTTTCTTGCGATGTCTTTGGTTTTGATATCAGGGACATACTGGCCTCATGGAATGAGCTGGATTCCCCTGCTCCTCTATGGTCTGAAATAATTTGATAATTTAAACATTTGATACAATTCACAAATGAAGCCATCTTTGGCCCGGAGATTTCTTTGTGGGAAGAGTTTTAATTATTAATTTAATTTCTTTATTTGTTATAGGTCTTTTCAGATTTCCTAATTCTTCTTGAATCAGTTAAAGTGTCTTTCTAGGAGTTTGTCCATTTCACTTGAGTGGTAAAATTCTCCTTCTCCTTCTGTAGTTAACTTTCATCAATATGCCATGTAGTTCACGTTGGAAGTTGCAACATTTCCTCATTGACTCTTGCTCACCACATTTACACCTACAATTATCACTGCAGAGCTTGACCATGCCCATGTCGAGTAGGAAGATATGTCCTATTCCCTTCAAGGTCCTTCTAGCTAGACTGAGAATCAAATTGACATAAGACAGATTAACAAGAGAAAACCAAATCTAGGTTGGTATGTATGAGGAATCCGCACAGACATGAGATGCCAAAGACAGCCAGGCAACATGAGGCTTAGATGGGCTAAAGAGAAGGATAGGGTCTGGGGATACAAAGGGGGGGAATACCACTAGAAATGTTTGGAAAACAAAGATTGCCCTGTTATACATATACGTTTCTTAGGTAAAAAGGAATCTCTGTTAATGGCCCTCTTTCTGATACAGTCTCCTTTCTGATGTGAATTTAGGCAGTTGAACAGAGGTAAGGAGCTTCTCCTGAATCTGCTGGGTTTTGATTGCTTTTAAAATAATGATTGAGGGGTGCCTGGGTGGCTCAGTCAGTTAAGGCTCTACCGTTGGCTCAGGTCATGATCCCAGGGTCCTGGGATCGAGTCCCACATCAGGCTCCCTGCTCAGGGGGGCGCCTGTTTCTCCCTCTCCCTCTGCCTGCCACTCCCCCTGCTTGTGTTCTCTCTCTCACTCTCTGTCAAATAAATAAATAGAATCTTTTAAAAAATAAAATAAAATTGCATTTCAAAATAATCTTCATGCCAAAGTGGCCCATCTTGGGGAGACCTGCCCTTGGCCCCTACATCCATCACCCTATCATACACTTGAGATGGGTATGGTATTAAGAGAGGTACAAATACAGGAAATTCAAGGTATGCATACCTCCCGCACTGGAACATAGAACACACCTCAGGTTACTTCACTGCGGCTGATCAGCTCTGTAGCAATAAGAAAAGTTTATAGGCAGCTATACACTGCATTCATTGTTCTGGCGCCAAGAAACAAATAATGATGTACCACTAATGGGCTTTTCCAAACAGGTTATTATAACTTTCTTTCTTAAAAAAAAAAAAAAAAAAATTGGGGCGCCTGGCTGGTTCAATCAGTAGAATATAGGACTCTTGCTCTCAGGGTCAGGAGTTCAAGCCCCACACTGGGAGTAGAGCTTACTTTAAAAAAAACTAATAGTGTGAAAATTAATAAAGGAAAACCTCATTAATATGGAGTTGGGTTGTCCATTGTATTTCCAACAGAGAGACCAAAGGTGCAAGACCTCAGGAAGGTTAGCTATTACTTTACTATGCCAGCAGGAGGAAGGAAGGTTTCCTCCTCACCAAGCAACAACCCAGCCAATGAGAGACAGTCATAGCCCAGCCAATGAGAGAGAGTCACACCCAGCCAATGACAGACTGTCACAGCTCAGCCAATGAGAAGCCCCCATACGTCCAACTCCCAGTTTACTCCAATGGACTTTCTGTTTACAACAGCCTTCCCAGCAGCGCCTTTGCGCCATAAAAGAGCCTGCTCTGCTTTGTTCTGTGGACCTGCCTGTGGTTCTGCCCTATTTTGTGTGTGGTGTAAAGCAATTTTTTGCTCTTCCCAAATACACCCATCTTTTGCTTGTAAAATGACTGGTTTTATTTATTTTTAAGGTTAACAGTAGCAGCAACAACCCATTGTGAGCTGGCCACTACCCACAAATGAATAGCCCAGCCATCCAGAGACCACAGTGCAAAGGAGGAGGCTGCTTAAATAGAAAGGATTACATAGGTGACCATTATCAAGGCAATTCTTCCCTCTCTGTGCCAGAATGAGTGGTTTCTTACTGGACACTTAAAGCATGCTTTTGGACTTTTTACCTCCTTTAAGGACACAGCTCCTGTCTTTTGGCTCCAAGAAAATCCTTTTAGAAACTTGGCAGGAGAAGCCCTGCCTAGCAAGATGGCGCTGCCCGCGTTGTTGCACCCGTTCTCCAAGCTGCTGGCTCCTGCCAAGGCTCCCAAGCAGCTCTTCAGCGCAAAGTTCTACATTCGGGAGCACCACATGACAGACCTGACTGGCTGAAAGTTGGACTGACCTTGGGCACCTCTGTCTTCTTGTGGATCTCTCTCATCAAGCAACATAATGAAGATGTTTTAGAGTATAAAAGAAGCAATGGGTTGGAATAAACTATTGAAATACTAATATGGTAGGCTCCATATAGTGATTATACTAGTTCCTTTGGATTCACCAATCTGTTGAGTTGTAAACGTGAGAGAAAAAGTTATATGTGAATGTATGTCAAATCAGCATTTGTGTTTTGCATCATTAAATGAAAAAATAAAAATATTTCTGTATTCAGATTTAAAAAAATTGGCAAGAAAGAAAACAACAAAACTTAAGGCTACAGGAGTGACTAGAACAGAAAGAAGACAGTCAAGAGAAATCATGGGCCATGGGGTGTGAAATGATGCATCTGCTCAGATAGTAAGGAAGGAGACTGGGGCCCTGCACCCCAACAGATTTAGGTGACTTAGCTTTGGGTGGAGTCAGGGTGGGGATCAGTTTGCACCAAGATTTAGGGACACAGAGGTGTGTTTCTGTGCTATATTGGGAATTAGGAAGACTTTTCTGTAACCATGTGCTAAGTTTTAAATATTCTCTGAAGTTCCTTTTATGTCTACACTTTATGATTCCAGGGCTTCCCTCTGAATCTGCTACGTTTCCATATTTTCAAAAGCATAATAGAACAATAACTATTCAGTCGCTAACTACTTACCAAGAGTCACCTTATAGCTCAGATCTATACTAGTTGTAATTAAGAAATATATTTGGCCTTTGTCCTCAGTTGTAGCACAGAGCTCCTAAAACCCCTGGGATTTCCTGGGTGATAGGAGTGTCTTCTGTTATTCATATGAGCCCTTTTGAACACCCCTGAGTTTATGGTAATGAGCATAATTAGGATGGGGCCCCTAGATAGCCTCAGAGTGGGGCTGCTATCTGAAAGACCAAGTACTTACAACAGTGTCTGGTATAGTTAAGCACTCGGTATTTAATAAGTCTATAAACATAGAAAATTAGTCTTGGAAGGTCCAGTTTTGGAGGGCATGATGGTACAGTGAATGTGCTGGGGCTCATCTAGTGTATCAGTATTTAACATGAAAGATGCAAATAATCATGCCCTGCTTTGGGCTATTTGCCTTTCACTATTTACACTTTCACTTGCAATGATTATCCTGATCCAGAAAGGAATTAAATGATAAAGCTGATCTCTCAGGAAAGGAAGCAGACTGTATACCAAACACAGTGCACCTTATTTATTCTGCAAAGTAAGGAGACAGGCCAAAATGGTGCCTAAGTCAGAGGGTTTGCTGGTGCCAAAGTGATGACTGTAACATTGAGGCTTGAGCAATGTAAAGTTGAACAAGGCAAAAGGGCCCACGGCAACCACCAGGCTGAATGCAAACAGGCTCATTAAACCACAGGCCCTAACTGACCAATGGGTTACTTACAACCAGACACAGTTCCTAAGGTTACCGAAAAAGGGAAAATTCCATCCGTCCCCATACTCCCTCACTCCACCCTGTAACTATAGCCCCTCATCACCACCTCGTGGCAGACTCTCTCTTTTGAGGTCCTGCCCGCTGCGCCCTTGTCGTGTATTCAATAAACTACTATCTCTTTTGTTCTGCCTTGGGGGGATTCTTTCGACTGCACCACGGGATGCCCCACGATGGCCTTCAGTCTAAAGCAAGTTCTGGATGCAAAGCAAATCATTTTCGCAAAATAGTGCACACACAGTGTGGATTTGGGTCCAGCCACCTTCAGGAGGAAAGGGAGCCCAGATGCTCCTGCCTGGCTCCCTCTGACAGCCACATCAATTCGACAGACTACTTACCCAACATGCCAGCTGACAACATTTGCTGTACTCCTCTTTTATTTGAATGGTTGTAACAACATAAAAGAAGCAGAGAAAAAACATCTGCTTTTTTCTCAATATGCTCTCACAGTGTCTACAAGATGAGTCATTAAAAGACTTTGCTTTCAGTTCATGTGACAATTATCCCCGAAGATCCCTTTTAAAATGTAAAATAGAGGGGGGAAAAAAAAAAGTCAAACAAGCTTAGAATATAAACAAAGAAGATTGAAGAATTGGGAATATCTGACAACATTTTAAGGAAGAAAAGAAAATAAGAGGACCTACGAATTGAAATGCAGCCGAAAAGAAATACCCAAATGAGTCTCTTTTGGATTTGATGTCTCTAAAATGGCAATCAGTTTTTTCTTTAAATTATCTGTCTCAGTTCTCACAGAATTAGGGCAGAACTACTCCTGATAAAAACATCAAACCTTCCAGATTTAACAGCAGCTCAGAAAACCAAGTCACAACCAAACGTACCAGTGCTCACAGACTGTTCAGACTATTTGTATACAAAGTTGAAAATAATGTCAAGTTTGAAAGCCACTGTAAAACATCATAGTTTCTTGGCCCACCAAACTAACAAAAAATACACTTCCTAGTATAAAAAAATTTTTTTAAGATTTTATTTATTTAGGGCGCCTGGGTGGCTCAGTCGTTAAGCGGCTGCCTTCGGCTCAGGTCATGATCCCAGGGTCCTGGGATCAAGTCCCACATCGGGCTCCCTGCTCCGTGGGAAGCCTGCTTCTCCCTGTCCCGCTCCCCCTGCTTGTGTTCCTGCTCTCGCTGTCTCTCTGTCAAATAAATAAATAAAATCTTTAAAAAAAAAAAAAGATTTTATTTATTTATTTGAGAGAGAGAGAGAGAGCACAAGCAGGGGGAGTGGCTGGCAGAGGGAGAGGGAGAAGCAGGCTTCCCATCGAGCAGGGAGCCCAATGTGGGACTCAGTCCCAGGAGCCCAGAATCATGACCTGAACCAAAGGCAGACGCTCAACTGACTGAGCCACCCACGTGTCCCATAAAATTTAATACATTATGGATCAATAAAAAGAAATCACACTCAAGAGAATAATAAAATAAGCCATAGACAATTGGGAGAAAATATTTGCAAAAGATTAAATGACTGTATTCAAAATACACAAAAAAACAAAGAACCTAACAGACACTTCACCAAAGAAGGTAACAGACGGCAAATACAAAGATGAAAAGTGCTCCACACAGTGTCTTCAGGGGGGGAATGCAAATTAAAGCAACAATGAGATACTGGTACACACCTATAAGAATGGTCAAAACCCACAACACTGATGCCACCAAATGCTACTGAGGTTGTGGAGCAACAGGAACTTCCCTGCATTGCTGGTAGAGAATGCAAAATGGTGCAGCCCCGTTGGAAGGCGGTTTGTCAGTTTCTTACCAAACTAACATACTTTTATCATACGATCTAGCCATTGTGCCTGTTGGTATTTACCAAAGGAGTTGAAAACTTACGTCTACACAAAAAGCTGCACAGAAATGTTTATGGAAGCCTTATTCATAATGTCAAAACCTAAGGTGTGTACACCGTGCTAAAAGATAAACTGAGGCATATTAAACACGTTAAGAGATTAACAAAAATGTGTTTGAACCCAGCAGTATCCAATCTAGCAGATAGAAAGGAGCTCCGAGGAGCTGTACAAAATGAAAGACTTTTATAGGCAGCAGGAAGCAGAAACAAGGGAGCTATACCGGGCAAAAAAAAGCAGGTTGGTTATTGCAAGGTTATTTTCCTTTAGGGGATGGCATGGGTCCATCAGGCGATTCCTGATCAACTGGTTTAAGATTCCATTTCTGGGAGAGCTGATATGGTAATGGTGAAGGTGACTTGGGACTTAGAATAAAGGAATTTATTTGAAGCCTGGTCTTGTCTTGTTTTTAACAACCCAGACAAGGGAATATTATTCAGCGCTAAGAAGAAATGAGCTATCAAGCCATGAAAAGGCATGGAGGAATCTTAAATGCATAGCACTAAGTGGAAGAAGCCAATAATGAAAAGGCTACAGATTGTGTGTTTCCAACTAACTACATGACATCCTGGAAAAGGCAGAACTATGGAGACGGTAAAAAGATCAGAGGTTGCCAGGAGGAAGGGTAAATAGGAGGGGCACAGAGGGTCTTTAGGGCAGTGAAACTACTCCATATGACACTATAATGTTGGATACATGCTACGTTCGTCCAAACCCACAGAATGTACACGAGGATGAACCCTAATGTAAACAACGGACTCTGGATGATGGTGATGAATCAGTGGAGGTTCATCAGTAGTAGCCAATGTGCCACTCCAGTGGGAATGTCCATGGTGGGGGACACTATGCATGAGTGGGGGCGGGGTGTATGGGAAATTTCTGTACCTTCCTCCCAATTGCACTAGAAATTAAAGTCTATTTTTTTAATCTAAAAATTAATAATAGTCTATTTTTTAATTCAATAAAGTAAAAAGATTTTAAAGAAACAAGCAAAAAAGAAATCCCACAAAATTTTAAGAGTCAGAATATTTCCATGGAATGGGTTTCCATATTTCTTTTTTTAAGATTTATTTATTTATTTGACAGAGAGAGAGCATAAGCAGGGGAAGCAGCAGAGGCAGAGGGAGAAGCAGACTCCCCGCTGAGCAGGGAGCCCAATGCGGCGCTCGATCCCAGGACCCTGGGATCATGACCTAAGCCAAAGGCAGATGCTTAACCAACTGAGCCACCCAGGTGCCCCTGGGTTTCCATATTTCTTAAGAAAATATAGACAGTTCTCTTCTTCAGAAATAGGAATTGTAGAGAAGAGTTGTCTGTGTTTTACTTGCTGCAAACTAAAGCAAAAGAACCCAACCAAACAAACCAAAGCAGTTATAGTTTAATGAGACATTAACTTTTCAAACCCAATTATCTCTTCAGTAATTCATCTGTCCCACTCTATGGCTGGAATTTGATCCACTTTGCCTGAGACTTCCCTTTTCTTGGAGGACCAAAAATAACAAGAGTGGATACTTAGGTTATATTGATGAGAGAGCAGAAGGCAAGCTGAGGACAAAGCACAAGGTGACACCCCGCAAACTGCCCCCCCCATTTCTGGGTGGGGAAATGTGTTACATTCCTCCAGGAAACTCCCAACTGTCTCAATTCTTTGCTAGAGGGAAAAACAACTTTAGCTTGGTAATAGCCAGGCCTCCAGTATCTTGTAGGTCCTCCTTAGCATATGAAAGTCCTTTTGGACAACTCCCTTTTTCCTTACCTCCCCCAACTCCCAAGTGTATAATCAGCCATTCCTCACAACCCCCGTGCAGCAGCTCTTTCTGCCCATGGGTCCTGTCCCCATGGTTTAATAAAATCGCCTTTTTGCACCAAAGATGTCTCAAGAATTATTTCTTGGCCATTGGCTCTGGACCTCACCAACATTCC